TGTTGTTCGTCATAAATTTTACTTTCAAATGCTCTTTGTTGTGATGGATTATTTTTTGTACGATTCAATGCAATTCGTTCTATGGCCTCAGTATAAAAACTTTTTTGTAATAATAATTTATGACTACGTAAATTACTATAATTCTGACGCTGTATGATATGATTAATTTTAATCAGAGACTTTGACGGACGGTAGTACAGATTGTTACCGTCCATTTCTGCTAAACATTTTTGGTTAATATTTGACTGTTTATTAAGGAAACGACCACATTTTTTCCGAACTTTTTCAATTACGCCATTAACAGGGCCAGTAAACACAATGACATTGTCTTTTGATTTTTTGCTTCCACTATAAGTTACAGCAACGTTCCACACAATAATCATACAGTTTTCGCTAGACAATTTGGGTATATCAGATGTGGAAGACATAGATGGATCTTGTTCAACAATAAGAATATTCGCACTATCCATAATATATGGCATTAGCCTTGTGTAGTCACCAACAATGCGTATGAGAATAGCAGAGCTGTTATCAATAAAACCTAGACCCATTTCGGCTATTACTAGTTGAGGATTACTCGTTCCTTTTAGGCATTCAATTGACTGACAATGAAAGGTTAATGACATTAAAACAGCTGTTTCACTTTCATGTATTGGTCGTTTAGAAATTATGAAGATACGGTGCATTCCGGTCGATTTGGCGAGACACACCGTCTCGTGATTTGTCACATTTATAAAAATTGAATTCAAAGCATCGATATGATATTGAAACGGTTGCTTATGTTTTCTACTTGTATTTGGAGTGAGAAGTGGAACGGCACATCGCCGCTCAAGCAACAAACGGAATAGTTCTGTTTTTGCTGGTAAGTTTGAATTATCTGTTAGATGAATGAGTATATCGAATTTATGGAAAATATCGGATTCACTTGTATCAAAATATATATCACTATGATAACTTGCTGTCAGCTCGCTTTCTGAATCGCTTGATGATTCATCATTTGATGCAGCCGTTTTTCCAAAATTGTTACTAAATTCCATTCTATGACGAACACAATCAATGAAATTTTCAACTGGTCTATTATTTGTTGAGACAAAGGATCGATCGATCATCCAGTCGGCATAAGAATAACTGCCTTCCATAGTGACTGTAGCATCGTCGGAAGCGAAATCAATGCTTGGTACGCGTAATGGTGCTAATGTGTGGGTGACACTGGACGAAACCGTACTTGATTGAATCTGGCAGAGCAAATTTTCAATATCACGAATGATCATCATAAAGCCCTCTAAATGGAATTCGAGCCCAAAGCCATCATTTGTCCAGCCGTGTCTTTTTCGCAACATGGTTTTTATTTGTTCCGGTGCATTTAGTTGTTGTTGTATGACACTTGCTCCACGAGCTAGACTCGTTCTAATGATCGGAACTATTACTTTATAGTTTAACTCTTCTCGACAATCAGCTGAAGCATAATGACGAAGGTGATTTGCTAAATCACTTAATTTGACTACGAATGTGTTTATTATATCATCATCTGAAGTTGTTTCATTATCAAATGTGTTTTCAACAAACTATTTAGCTTGGTTAAGTAGTTTCGTTGTTACATCGCCCAGTGATATGTTTTCTCGTTGTAGTTGATTTAACAACTGTTCATTGAAAATTCTTGTGATTATTGAATATGTTAACTGCAGTTTAAGCACTTGATCACATAAACCAATTGAAGTCAGGAATCGTTTAAGTGTTTCACGCGTCAATAAGGCGGGTAATAAATTGTGACCAAACGCTGAGTTTGCTTCGAATATAATATGAAACGCTGATATCGTCTTATTCAACAACTGTGTTTCATTGGCTGCATCAGTATCGAATGATCCAATCTCGCTCTTCAAAATATCCTCAACAGTATCGACAGCTGTATCAAAAGAGATCGAGTCTTTTACAGACATCAAACGATGCGATGGTAAACGAATTGATAAAGCTGTAGGATTCCGTGTATCTAACATAACACGATCAATTTCACACTGAATTATCGGTATGTGTGAAAAATTTGCTGCCTGTTGCAACCATGCTTGCTTAATTTTACGTGCTGCTTGTTGTATGTAGTTATCCGAATGATTGTTCATCAGTTCCCAAACGGGAAGAAATGATCGGAAATCTGAACGATCTATCAAATGCCAGAAAGAATTGTTTGTAGAAAGTAACTGAGCAAATATATCTGGATTTGTACATGGAGGTCCAAATGAGAGAATTCGACATTCAATTGTAGCTTGTTTCTTTTCAATTTTATTTGCCGTATGTGTACCACAATCATTAAAAGATTCATATGAAAGAGCACCACTTGAACCAACATTAAACTTGGAGAAACCAACATCTAAGGATGCGTTGAAACATTTTGTGGTAATTTTTTCCAATTCATCTATGGATGATGATGTGTTTGTTGATGCAGAGATAGTTCTCAAATAGATACCACCAAGATGATGTACTCCATCGGAGATATGAGAATTGAAATTATTCAAAAACTCTT